TATATATATATATATAATACGAAATCGGTTAAATCTTTCTTAAGCAATAAAAATATATAAATACAACTTCTTTGAGTTTTAAAACTCTCAAATTATTGAAACGATTTCATTCAAGTTTTATTTTTTTTCATTTAAAAAAAATAATGTAAAATAATTTAAAAATCTGTGTGTTTTATTATTTAAACTTGTTTTGACAACTAATTTTAAAAAAATAATTAAAAATCATTGAAATTTTCTAGGCGCTAAATTATTTTTGGAAATAAAATATTTTGTAATTTCGTTCAAAAGTTTTCGATTTGTATAAAAAGCTCTTGAGATATGACGAAAAACGAAAATAGTGAAGAAATGAATTAGAGGCCCAAACTTTATCCAGCTAACTGAGTAAACTATTAGGACCATATTTTCTAAATTTTTGCCTCGCTTTGTGTCTGATTTCGTAGCTTAATAGTAAACACTAATTAATTAATGTATTTAAAGTTATCCATTTAGGCCATTCAGATTAGCACCTAGTGCGTCAAATTCGATTATAATAAAAAAAGTTATTCCGCATGATGTACAGAACGCAAAGAAAAAAATGGACAACCCTGAATTACATTTGAACTCATGATCGGATTTTCATGTTTTAGGACTCAATCATAATGGCTCGATAGGGTGATCTCAAATATGCTAATTGAATATGAAGACGAAATTTTAAGTTCGGAAATAAGACACAAAACGTAATTTCTCTAAATAAATATAAATTTCTTTGACGAATGTAGGTTTCTGACCCCTCAATATATCGGGCTTATCCGCATTCTGGGAAATATGGTCCCAATAGTTTTGCCAGGAGAGCCCTCCAAAGTTTGAACCCCTTAGCGTTAATTTAACGTTTTGCATATTTCGCTATATCTCGAGAACCTTTTAAGTGAATTAAAAAAAATTTGCCCAGAATTATACAATTCGCTTATCCAAAGATAATTCCATACAAAAAAAATTACTTTCAGTAAATATTTATTTTTTATTATTTTCTTTAATAATGGTTAAAAAAAATGTTAAAATACGCAATTCTTGCATTCATTTATCAAAATTTGGGAAAATCGGTCAAATAGTTCTGAGAAATCGAATATCTGAAATTCTAGGTGGAGAGCTAATTCTTTGACCATTCAAACTCTCTTTGCTTTGCTCTATCAAAAACGGACACCCCTGCTTAATATGAAAGATATAAAATGTCTCTACACTGTTAAAATTTTCTTTCAAAAATTATACTAAAATAACTGGCAGTTGTCTGTCCATCCGATTAACCGTAAAGTTTGCGGTAAAGGTAATTTTTTTCCTTTATGGTTTTGAAACCATTTTCAAAAAGTATGGTTATAAAACCATGAATACAAAACTAGACGGTTTTTTACCCATTTACAAATAACATTTTTCAAAAACGTAGAAAAAAAAATAATTATTTAACTAGACATAGAAGCTCGGCTTTTCGTAAGGTAATGGGCATTAGAGAGCTCCGGACGCTGGAAATTCTTCATGTGCTGAAGGGATGGGAGGTGTCAGCACTAGGACTCGAACTCCAGTTCTGCCGGTCATGAGATTGACAGATAAGACCACTCGGCTATGATATGTACGCAATTTCAAAGAACTAAGTAGCTTCATTAGGTGGTTCTAGTTAGAGCGATAAAATTCTGGTTGTTTAACCGTATTAAGTGAAAGAAGTTAATAAGCAGTCTTTCTCAAACTTAACAGTTTGATTACCATTTTACTTATGGTTACTTGACAGTTTC